CTAAGTAGAAAAGAAAAGGAATTAATTTACAAAGTATAATAAGCACAAGGTACGTACCATTAATAAATTTAGGACCTTTTTTGGTTCAAAATCATGGGAAAAGATCCTGTTTCCTCCCTTTTTACTAATTTTAGTATAATGATAATCACTTGAGCTACAAATATCAATAATAGTGCTGGTGCACCACAGCCTAGCATGCATAAAATTAAAGCTGACCTAATAATATACTGTCCTTTAATTACTTTGCAATTTCAGTGGGGCAAAACTAATACTTATAAAGGAGAGGCCTCTCCAAGACTTGAGGAGCCAACCAATGTCAATGAAGATTCATGTACCACTTTGAATCTCATCATTTGCAGGGATGTAAAGGCCGGGGTCTGCGGGACGGGGCAAGTCTTAACCAAACTAAAATTTTAACATGCTTTGTCATGCCGTGTTTAGCATTTTTTTCACTATAGTTTGTCTTGCACTGACCCATAGCCCTACCTGTCCAGGAGTTGGTTGGCTTCTCTTATTTCTTTATATATATGTCCTTAAATAGACGGTCTTAATTGAAAGAAGCCATATGGACAATTTAGATTTATATAAAATTCAACTTATTTAAAACTAAATCATAATTATTGTATTTTATTTCCTTATATAACATTTGTATAGACATGTCAGACACAAATTTCTCGAATAAATGAGTAAGTGAGAGAGAATTGAGAGTATGAGAATATTTTATTGAATAAAAATCCAACCCTTTACGAGTGAATATTGAAATACTAACTGTTTATAAGTAACTAATGAAATAAATCAACCAATGGAATTGAGCCAACTAAGTCCTAGCTATAATACATCGTCCAATGAAAATGCTTAATTTGTACGTTAAATTAACAATCTTTTTTTCATTTTTGTTACTATTTATTTTAATGAAATTTGAGGATTTTTCTGTGGCTGATCACTTAGGGATCGAATTTGACTTGAAAAAAAATCTTACATCAATGAAATATGAGTCTAACAACAAAATATTCAAATATGGTTTGCCAAAGTTCTTATGTCATTTTTATACTTTAAGATGGAGGACTATTTTGCTATTTTTACTCTTTTTATTTTGGGTTAATTAATACTAATGTTAACTACTTAACCTCATCTCATATTTTCGTATGTGAATTGTTCAAATGGGCTATCACTAGTAAACGTTGTTTGGTATGAGAGATGAAATACACAAAGTTATCTTAGATTGAGATATAACATGGGATTACTTTATGATAGAATTATTTATTCCATCATTTAGTATAAATAATCCGTGGACTAACTAATACTCCAAATACTATATAAAATAAACCTACATTTTATCCTGAATTATTATCTTTGATCCCTCATACGAAATGACCCCTTAATTTTTGCCTCATTCTGGTTCTCCCAAAGAACACAATTTTATCCATTTTTCTTAGTTTAATTTTTAAGTATTACTTTTTCTTGATGCATCTTTGATTTTTTTTTTACTTTAAAATCTGATTTTTTAGGATTAGTTAGATATTTTAAGGGGAAATTGTGCAGAAAAGTAAACATTTAAACCATGTTATATAATTATCATATTTGTATATAATTATCATATTTGTATATTCGCAAACGAAATATACAAACGGGTAGAATATACAACCGCAACCTTCATAGCAAACAAAACTATAGCTATGGAGCACAATTATCGAAACTATAGTTGTAGTTACTTATTATATCTATTATGTTTGTTATTTTTGATTTTTTTCTTCTTATTTTAATCTGTTAATTCAATTAATTGAATAATTTGTTAGATAGCTAGTTAATTAGGTTAAAACAGATTGGTTGGTTAGAGGGGGGTAAGGGATTTGGGCTTAGTTTTTTTCAGAAATTGGGCTACTCTGTTGGTCCGATTTAAGAAGCCCAATTTGTACAATACCCTGTCCAAGGCTTGAACAGCTGAACAATTTGTAACGGGTCATTCGCACAAATGACATTATTTTAAGGTGGTGTTTAATATTTGCCCATTAAACTTGTGGTCTTTAATTTGTTATTCAACATTTTAAGCAAGAAAAAATGACTGAAAATACCTTTGACACTGAAATAACAAATATTTTTGTGGCATGATAACCCACAAGTTATTTTGTGAAAGGCATAATAAGTTAAAACATATTGCATAACTCTTTCTCAAAATAAATATTTTTGGCCTCTCAACAATAATATCAAATAGGCGGTTAATTTCGTTAGGCAAACCTTTTAGAGAATATTTACTCTGAAGCATAAGCTCAATAATGTATGTCTAAGTCGTAAGTAAAATCTTTATCCTTGTTATTAAAAAAATGATTGGCACAGGTTATGCCTTATAAGGCACAAGTTCATACTATTGAATTTATGTCTCAAATCACAAGTTATGCCTAAGACATGAATTTAAAATATAAACTTTTTAAAGCATAATGTTCTAAAGCTGAACTTATGTCTCAAGGCACAAGTAATGACTTATAGGCATAAGTTCAATTTTAAAATTTTATGTCTTTCAAGGAATAAGTTTGGTTTTAAAACTTTATGTCATAATAAATTTAGTAAAAATTAGGCAAATGACATAGTATAAGAAAGAAATTACTTCATTTCCCTACTCTTTCATTAATTACCAAAAATCCCTTTTTTTAGTGTTTTTCGGATACATAATATAGCAGCACGGATACTTTAATTAATAACGGGCGGATACTTAAATTATTAAGTTGTTGTTATCAATTATTAAATTAATAGCAGTGTGGATACTTAATAACGGGCGGATACATAATATAGCAGCACAGATACTTTAATTAATAACGGGCGGATACTTAAATTAACGGGCGGATGCATAATATAGCAGCGCGGATACTTTAATTAATAACGGGCGGATACTTAAACTAATAAAGTATCCGGTTAAGTTGAATTGGGGGAAAATAAGGGATTTTTGTATTTTAGTAAAAGAGTAGGGAAATATTGAGAATAGGTAAAAAGTGTTGTGTATTTAAGTAATTTTTCCATAAATTTATACTACTCAGCTTATGCCACAAACACAAGTTATGTCTAAGGCAAAAACAAGTCCAAACCTCAAGTTAATGTTCTATTGAACTTATGCTTTGTATTACTTAAAATATTAAAAAACAAAAGTTAAAAATTATGAATTTAAAAGATAAAAATTTAAAACTTCCGTAAATAAGAGCATTTCTACTAAGGACCCCAATGCAATTGGCTATTATCTCATCACCATTATTAATAAACTGGATGTTCTTCAAAGAAAAATATATATCATAATTTGATGTATTTAGGGTTTACTTCAGCACGTTTTTTTTTGTTTTAATTTGTATACCGTTTTGGTGAGCAATAATATACTTGAATTATAAAATTTGAAATTGAACAAAAAAGAAGTTGGTGAGTCTTGCGAAATGATTACTACTATTTGGCATGGAAGAAAATGTTAAATTTACAATCTTTTTTTTAAAAAAAATCGTTACTTTTAATATTTTGGAGCAAACATATCATAGTTGTATGTACGTAAAGATTATATGTGTCGAAAATGATGTATCAAGGACCAAAATAAATGAAGGAATATTTTATCATTTTTGTTGTTCTTACACATTTCCTGCATTTCTTTTGAAGGTGCATAGTTTATAAGGAAAAACGTATTCGTTCATCATTCGATCTAACAAAAAATATGAGAAAGTAATAAACTTTATGAATAATCTTTTTAATGACAGTCCTAAAGTAATTCTTTTTTTCTATTTCAATTTATTTGTTAGTGCTTGACTCTGTATAGAATTTAAATAGATAGATAGATATTTTGTGGTGAATGTGATAAATCATCTAAAACAAGGATAAAATGAAGATTTAAAATTCAATTATTTCATGACATTTTTGACAAACTAAAATAAAATACTGACAAAGAAAATTATATAACAATATTACTTTCTCAATTCATTTTTACTTGTCTATTATTCTATAAAACAATAGATATTTGATTTAGAAAATCAAGAAGTAATTTACGTTTTATTTCTATTTTATTCTTACTATCAAGTAAAATTTCTTTTAATATATTTTTATAATTAAATATTTAAAAATATGTCAAATTGATATTGAACAAGTAAAAATATAAGAGAAGTATTGAAAACACCATTGAACTTGACACAAATCATTAGTTTCGTTTCTAAACTATTGACAGTCTTAAAAACACCCGTTGACTTGACTAATTAAACTTAAATACACTCCAATTTATCATATGACAGAGCAAGTGGTTTCAAACTCTCATAGGAATATGAAACTCTTAATAAAAACTTAGTGATGTATTGAAAACAATTTTATACTTGGCGCAAATTTAAAAATATATTTTTTTTCAAATTATATAATCGATACTTTCAAGACTATCAACAACTTGAAAATAAGCCTTGATGAAAGAGTTGACCATTCTAAACCAAACCACAATTGCGTAAACTCCTTTGACAGCCGGGTCTTAAGAGAATTGACGAGACCTTCGTGTAAACGCCGTTCAATATGGCGGCCCTGCCAACTGGCATTTTCAAGTCAAAACTTCCAACTACTCTATAAATTTGTTTTTTTCCTCTCTTCTTTTTTAGTTTGCACTTTGCGGTCCAAACAAGGTTGGTTTATTATGCACTTTGTTCAAATAAATAACAAAATTTGTCGATTGAGCGTTTACTCGTTAAATAATTATAGATAAAATATATAGTTCAATGACCCATATCAGGCCAGCTGCTTCACGAGAAGCCAAACTATAGTTAGTAAAATAGTACTAGTACTGTAAACGTAATGCTGCCCACAAATTGAGAAGAGAAAAAATCTTTTCACACTTGCCAATTTTCACACCTTTGATTGTCCTTTCTTCCCATCAACACAAAAAAACAAACTTCTCAATAGTCCTACCATGCTTCTCAATTTAAATTTCCTACGCTGACGAATGCCTCTATGAAGTCTATAACAAACAAGTGGGAGAGGCAACATATAAACAAATATTAAAATTATAAGCCTATTCCTAATTTTTGACTTGCTAATTCACAACTAACTTGAGCTAATCCAACTCTAGAGTTTGAAAGATCAAATTCCATCCAGAAATTTTGCTGGTGATGATGTCCAATAATGTACGCCGCTACTCCTAGTAAATCTGAATTTCCCATCGTAAAACAATACACTTGATCCTTCCCTCTCGTTACCCCTGTTAATTTGTAAAGCAATTTTTCACCCATAACGCTCATTTCCACCCCCGGAAACATCAATGTTACTGGTGGCAACCGCGGTAGTATCGTACGAGTCGATTCAACTAAGTAACACAAGTCCATCGCCCCTTGGAATACGAAATTCGGGTCGTTCAATACCCTCAACACGCCTTTGGTTTGTTTAATGAACTCATTTTTTAACGCGGTGTAAGCCGGGCCAAGTAGATAAGTAAATTGAGTACCCGAATCAACCATGGTTTGACCCGCTCCAGTATGATCCGGTATGAGTACGGATTTAGGCAAGGGTAAAATCGTCTCACCAACTTTAATTCCTTCCAACTGAACCGTATAAGCGACCCGATCAAAATAAGGTAACGGAGTTGACATTTGAACTAACGGAGTGTACTTCCTTGGTTTAAGCCAAGGCAAATTCGCTTCTCCAAATAGGAGAACGCCGTTACTGTCACGACCCGAAATACAATAAGAGAATTTCGGGTAACCCATTTGTGTAACGAAAGATAAACCACCACGGTTCATTCCTATTAACCCGGTAGTCCTTGAATCTTCCGGGTTTGAACTTGAACTCATATCCATGCACCCGAATACCACACCGGGTAAATTCAAATTATCGATACGGAAAGTTTCAGTAGCTAAATTACCCTCAACGGAAGAACTGTCAGCGTAGGATAGCGTAGCATGGCAGAGTTTTTTCGGGTCACATGAAACGGGTATGGAAAAATCCCGGGTTTTCATCCTGCATGTCGGTGAAGAACAGGGGGTAGCAGAGTATGAAGAAGAAACAAGCGGGTTGAAAATTAAAGGTGTTATTGGGGTTTTTTTTACAGTGGAGCCAAGAAAGTTCACTCCCTGTATCGAGCACCATGACAACTTGTTGCGGAGGTGACCCAATAGAAAGAGAGACAGTAAGCGAAACATTATGATGAAAAGCAACTCTGTTTGGGGAGGAGATAGATGCTGTTTTCTTCACTATGAGGGGAAGAATCAATGAATGTTTAGTAGCAATTGATTGAATGAATAAGGTAGAAAACACAAGGTGAAGAAGAAGAAGATTTACAGAGTCATCCATAACAGAACAAAGATAAATTAAACAGAGTAATTGGAGGGGATTTTGAATGTTTGAGGCTCTTTCTGACTAGTGAGCAGTCATTACTGAATTTTCAGAACTTTGTTTTCTTCCTAGTGTAGTTGTTGAAGGTGTCCCCTTCCTACAATAGTAACCGATAAACTCTGCAAATTATTATTATATATATAGATGGAGATGAAATTTTTTATTTTTAGGAGAAAATATTTAATTGGAATTTTTTAACTAGCTATTACAAATACATGGCAACATTAACTCATTATCAATTATGGTATATAAATATTAACCATAATAGCATATTTCTAATATACATGAGAATCGATATTCACCATAAATAACCTTATACTATAACATATTTTAATTTACATGAGAATCGATCATTCATATATATACCATAAATATATGTATGCTTTAAATTCAAAAAGTTTTTTCCATTAATAGACTACAAATATTTATTTAATTAATATTCTTTTCTATAAAAAAAATGCTCTCAATATAATAAATTTGTACCATGAATATAGATATTTTCCCATAAATTTATATATATAATATAATAATAATCTGACTTTACTATAAATTATATTTATACCATAAAAATACATGTTAGATTGTGGATAAAAAAATTATACCATATACCCCACACACATATATATACACCATATAAAAATTATTCCAAAATTTTATGCCAAAAATATATCAATAATCTAACTTTCATAAGGTATGTTTATACCATGATTTATTTTAGATAATATAAGAAGTTTATACCATACATTTATTACAAATAAAAATTATATATAATAATATTATCAATAATGATTTTACATGAAAATAAGGAGTGATATTAAACTAAATAATTTATATATTGATTGTAGTAGATACTATAAAATATTGGTTAAAATATTTGAATACATGTTCGAGAGAAAGATTTGATATTTTTTTTAATGATATATATACTTTATTGAAAGATAGAAGAGAATCTTTTAAATTAAGGTTATTAAATAATTTATTATAGACTTAAACTAGAAATTATAATTATCTTTTTTATTTATTTTTTAAATTAATAAAAATATATATTCATGTACATAATATTTAGAAATATAGTTATTAATGTACTTAACTTTTTCCTTTTTTCTTATCTCACAAAAAACTAAATCTAAGCTTATGAATTTAAAAGTGTAAGATTTGGATTCATTTTTGTCCGCGGTAAAAACTTTCAAACGGAGATGCATCTTTTTTTTACGGATAGAAGAATCTTTGTACGAACAGAAGTCAGTACCAATCTATTCAAGAGATTTTGTCCAAGTGCAAATTTTACCTTTAAAAAAATAATTCAATATTATGGTGGTCATGTAAAGTAAATAAAATATTATGCAGAATCCTTTCCGAAGTAACTAAACAATACTGTGATATTGGCGTATATTTGTAACTTTAGATGCTATGTGTTACTGATACGATGAGATAATATCTCAGATGATCACTCAACTAAATTAAAACTTTTTTTATCAGAAAATCACTCAACTGAGTTCTTTTCTCAGAAAGTCACTCAACTGTTTTTCATAATCTCAAAGTCACTAAACTATGAGTTTTTCTCCCAGAAAGTCACTCAACTATGAGTTTTCCTCTTAGAAAGTCACTTAAATTTCTTTTATAAACTCAAAGTCACTCAACTATGAATATATTACGTACAAAATCACCCAACTTATTTAATTAATTTTTTCATTAAAATTTGTCGACATGAAATTTTTATTTAAAATTAAAAATTGTAAAGAATAGGAAAATATCCTAACAAAAGTAGAATTTAAATAATTTTAATAAAAGTAGATTTAAGTCGACTAACAAGACCTTCTGCTATCAAAATTTGGTGTCTTTCCAAATTGTTTTTAACTGGATTTTGGGTATATGTTTTTAAAAAACTTCATTTTAAATTATCCATTTTAGCATCGGAATTAAAAAGGGGCTCATTTTACATAAAATTGCTTTTTAAAAAAATTAAGGTTCATTTTGTGTACTGTTCAGTTGGAATAAAAATACAACTAAATAATCACGTTTAAAATAGTCTTAGGTTAATGACTACTAATAATAAAATAATAACAATATTATTATTATTCTATTTTTTACGATTTTTATATTTAAATAGAAAAATTTCATGTAAACTAACTTTGATGAAAAATTCAATTAAATAGGTTGAGTGATTTCTAAGTAAAATACTCATTGTTGAGTGACTTTGGGGCTATAAATAAAAGTTGAGTGACTTTCTGAGAGAAAAAACTCATAGTTGAGTGACTTTGAGGCTATAAAAAAAAAGTTGAGTGACTTTCTGAGAAAAAAATTCATAGTTTAGTGACTTTCAGAGAAAAGAATTCATAGTAGAGTGACCATCTGAGATTTTTTTTTTAGTTGAGTGACCATCTGAGATATTATCTCCTGCTATGATAGATGATATTTGTATCTTTATAGGTAATAACTAAATATATAGAGAAAATACATAATTACCCCATCAAACTTAGACCCTTTTTTGAAGAAGACACCTTAAGTTTGCAAAGGTCCTATTACCCCACGAAACCATTTAAATCGACAATAAATACGTCATTTTGACCCATTTTCACCGCAATTGTAATTTCACACTAGAAAAGCACGTGAAAAAGTAAAATTGCAGCTCCAAACCAATGGAAAACTGACACATGACATTGTTAAACCAAAGTGAAAAGAGGCCGACATTTCTTCTTCCCTAAACCACCATTAATGGCTGTTGAGAGCTTTTCTCAACAACAAAAGTTGGTTCTTTACTACGCAAAGCGAATTTTTTTATTGTATACTCTATCATCAAGTTCTAGCAATCCATCTTAAGGCCTTTTATTAGAAAATCTACTTAACAACGACATAATATTTGATCAATTTAGCATCTAATTTACCTTTCAGCAAAGAAATTTGAACCCACTTCCATTCATATAGTTTTCCCAGATCAAAAGTATCAAAGAATCTACTCGAACAAATTCAAAAAAAATGTGAAATTCACTTATAGAACTCAAAGTTAGTCTTGATTTGGGAATACCCACAAAGCTAAAAAAATTTGAAATCAAACACCAAATAAACAACAAAAAACACTGAAAAATAACACACAAAACTTACATAAATATATATCTACAAAGAAATTCAGAAAAAAAAAATCTTTTGAAGTGAAGTAAATCGAAAGAACTGGGAAAAGGAATTGGGAAAAATGAACGATGAATTTTCTAAAAAGGTTTAAGGGTTGAAATGTGAGTGGGTCAGGGTTTTACCCGACCCACTATTAAACAAGTAAGAAAAATAATAAGATATTATTTTATTTGGGGGTGAAACACACGCACTGGTCAGAGATTGCAAATATTGTAAAAGTAGTGTATTTAAAATTGTTGGAAATGATTGGATAGGGTAATAGAACCCCCGCAAACTTTAGGTGTCTACTTTAAAAAAGGATACAAGTTTGATGGGGTAATTATGTATTTTCCCAAATATATAAGATAATTATATTTTTCTTTTCGAAAATGTAAAAATAATTATGAAAATACTTTTGATTTTCAGAAAAGTAAACTCAAATATAGTAAAAAAAATCTGGGGAAAAACTCTAACACCTATTACCCCTTGAATTTATTTATTTTTATATTTTTTATGCTCCTAAATTATATATGTGACGGTCATATTACCCCATGAATTTAATATTTTCATTTTATTGAAATTTCTAAATTTTTTAAGTTCAATTTTTGCTTGTGTTAAAGAAGTTTTCATCCTTTTCTTGTTGCAATTTTGGGGGAATTATTGATACCAATTGTGAACCTGGCTCTGATACCATTTTTAGGACCAAAATAATTAGGTGTCATACGGAAGATTATAGACTCATAATTTTTATTGGATTAAATTCATACAAAATTTGAATCAAATCCATGTTCAATTGGGTTGAATGATTAATTTGGGTTTTACAAATAAATAAGTCTATTTTATTAACTTCAAGTCCAACGTCCATTTCACCTTGAAGCCCAAACCATGCCACGTGTCACAGTGACTAGGCATCCAAGACCAACAAGGTGACGCCATGTGTTCAAATATTGTGGTAGTCTCAGTTAAATTCAAGAACCAATCACAATCTGCCAAGTGTCAAAATGACATCTTTTGGTCAATCATAAGCAACTTTGTCCACCCCTTACAACTACAAAAAAAAAAAAAAGAGTCTGAAGACAATTTAGAAAAGACTCCAACAAACTTTCAACAGGCGTTGGAGAAAGCCACAACATCAACTACATAGTTCTTCAAAGGACTGATCAACGAAGTTTCTCCCGAAGATTGACTTTACATTAAAGAAAAAATTATCATTGTGTTTTAATGATCTAAATCAATGCAAAACTAATGAATAGATATATCCAATATTATTGTCATTCCCCGTGTTGAATCGAATTTCTTTTATTAGCATGAATATTAGTTTACTTTTGATTTGAGCTTTATTTGAAATACCAATATCCAAGAGCTATAAAAATTAATTGGACCATTTAAAATTTAAAGTCCAAACTTGAGATAATATATTAAAACATAAAAAACTATGAAAAAAATCAACAAATATTTATAAATTACATTATGATTAATGTTTTTTTATGTATAAAATATTTTCAAAAATTGTAACATATAATATCATATTGATTCGGTTAAATTTAACTTTTTTAAAAATCGTTTCAAATCAAATCAGTTATGATTAATTTTTTTTCTATACCAAATCAAATTTAATCAAATTTAATCAAATTGTTAATCATTTTTTTTCAATTTGATTTATCGATTTGGTGTGGTTTGTCAATTTCCTTTAAACACCCATAGTTGTAATAATATTTTTGAATTCTCTATTTAGCAAATTGCAGCACCACTAGAAGGTAGTTGTGGTTTGGCATGCTATTTATATATTTAAATAAAAAAACCTTGGTTGGTAGACTTGTTATCCATTGGGAACTTGGGAAACTCGTGTGGGTCATGTATACTAATTTTGAGGCTAGTTTAGCACTTCATCGGTTCAACAATAATTCCTCCGTCCCTTTTTATACGTCACTTTATTTTGCATTTGTATTAAGAAATGATGTAATTTTACC